GAATTCATGACTTGGATTTAAAGTTTTATTAAACTTTTGAACAAATAATACCATATTTATTAACAAATTGGTAAAAAAGAAATCATTGCATAAAATATTTGTGTCTTTGGACAACATATTTTTGAGAGAGAATGGTATAGCTCTTCAGAAATTTGTTTATGATGTGGCTTTTAAAAAACCAAAAAATGAAACCCCACATGAAATAATTAAAAATACGGCAATTCTTTTTTGGTATGCCAGTCAACTGTTATTGGGGTTTTACAAATAAATTTCTTCTAAACAAGAAAAATCAATGAGTTATTTTTTTTCCCCTAAATAAATGTTTTTATCTAGTGAATACAACTAAAAATAAATATTAAAAATAATTAAAAGCTTTAATTTCATTTTTTATACTTCAAATCTGTGAAATAGCACCTGTTCTTTTTATATTTTAAAACTGAAATTAAAAACTATTTTAAATCATTTTTTAAAATATAATTTAAGTTATTCACTAGATAAAATTATAAAAATATTTAAAAAAAAAATGAATTAATTTTTCCTTGTTTAAAGAATTTTATACAGAACCACCAAAAACACTAGCAGCTAAAAAAAAGAATAATTTTTACTTTTGGGTTTAAAAAAAAAATGACTTTTAAGTTTTTTTGAAAATATACACAATTTAAAACTGAGATTAAAACATTGTTTATTTTTTTAAATTCTAATTTTATTTATTCACTAATTAGAAATATAATTTTATTTCTAGAAAACAAACACTTTTACACTAGAAACTCACATATCTGGATATATACACATTTTAAAAATGAAATTAAGAACTATTTTAATTATTCCTAATATCTAATTTAAGTTCATTCACTAGATAAAAAACAAATTTATTTATTAAAAAAGATTCATTCATTTTTCTTGTTTACAACAACTTTATTTTTGATTGGTGTATTGGCTTACTAGAAAAAGAATTACAAAAACAATTCATAATATTAAAACAAAACTAAAACTAATTTTTTTTTTTTGCTTACTATTTTGTTGTTAAAATTTTAACTATTTTTTTTTTTTTTTACTTTTTATTTTGTTAGATTTTTCATTTTTTCAGACATCAAAAGATATTTCCTTTTTTTTTTGAAAATATGATTTCAAATATTGTCATTTCTGTTTTTTTCTTTTTCATTTTTTTTTGTAAAAAGATTTCACATTTATTTCCTAAAATTAGTCAATTAAATGTTTTTAACATATTTTTGTTCAATCTTTTTCTCTTATAATGGTATAAATGTTGATAAAATTTAATTTTATTAACATCGGAAAGTCTTTTTCAATAGTGTTACTTTGGATATGGTCACTCAGTAGTGATAGCACTAAAAACCAAATGTTTTTGGTTTTGTAAATTTAGATGGTTTCATGGTGTGAAGATGAAACCAAAAAAAGTCAGTTTTTCTGTTAAACCACCCATCTCTACTATTTACCCATAAGTGGGTGGAGAAGTGAATGTAATGAATCTGACTGGAATTCGAACTCAGCTCTCCAATTTCTCAATCTGAGCTGTTATCCATTATTCCACCGTACCTCCTCATCAAAAACTAGTGGCTAAAAATGAATCTTTTTTTGGGGTGGAGTGTAAAAAAAAATAACTTGCAGTTTTGAAAATATACACATTTTAAAAGTGAGATTGAAACTTTGTTTTTTTAATATCTAATTCTAGATGTATTTGCTAGTTAGAAACATAATTTTATTTGTAGAAAACAAACAATTTTTACACTAGAGACTCGCATATCTGGAAATATACATGTTTTGAAAGTGAAATTAAGACATATTTTAATTATTTCTAATATCTAATTTAGGTTCATTCCCCAGATAAAAAACAAATTTATTTATAAAAAAATCTTCATTCATTTTTCTTGTTTACAACAACTTTATTTTGTGATTGGAAAAAAAAAACAATTACCCTTTTACAAAAAATACAACTTTGTAAAATTTAACATTAAGACAAAACTGGCAACTATTTTTATTTTTATTTTTACTTGCTATTTTGTTGTTAACTTAATTTTAGCACTTTTTTTGAAAACTGAAACAAATAGATTTCAGATGTCATGTTGTATTTCCTTTTTTTCTGTTTGAAAATATTCTATGATTTCCAAGCATCATATCTGTCATATTTCCTTTTTATCTTCTTCATTTCTTTTGTAAATAAATAGATTACACATTTATTTCCTAAACAATTGGGCAACAATCTCTTTCGTACAAGTTACAAGATGACTGACAAAGCCCTGCAGAGTTAAATTTTTTTATTCAATTTTTCTTGTGTTCATATAAAGTGTTTCCTTTTCTGGTGTCAAAATTGTTTTCAGCTGTTCTTTTAATTATCAAGGATTTTTTTTTTAACTGAATGTATAGATTTTTATGTATGTATCTACAGTTGTAGGAATGTTTTTTTTTTTTTTTTATATTTATTTTATTTTCAAAACATGGTCAGCACATTGTAACTGTGTTCCTAGGGGTTGTGTATTACTTTATAGTTGACCAGAACAAGAACGTTAAATTGTCTACTATAAAAATTTAAAACCACTAATCTTATCAGCAACACACTTGCAAGATCCAAATTACAGAGAACCAATATTATTTATGAATTCACATGTCTCTTAAGAAACTATGTTGCTGATCAAACCAAATTCATGAATATTTATGTTGGACATACCACTACATGCTTATGAAGAAGACTCATGTTACATCTCTCAATCAGAACTCATTTAAACACATGTGGTAACCTATCAAACTCTACCTGCAATAAGAAGACAGAACTATAATAGCTTCATCTATATATAAAAAAAGGCTAAAAATAATTGAAGCATAATAAGCATTGATTAAAAAAAAAACAACACTCAATAAGATCAACTATGAAGCTGGCTACAGTGTGCTGACCATGTTTGGAAAATAAAAAAAAAATCCCATAACTCTCCATACATACATAAAAATCTACACATTTGGTTAAAAATAAAAATAAAAAACTTCCTCAATAATGGCTAAAAGAATAGCCAAAAGCACTCAGATATACAGAACATTCAGATAATCTTTAGACACTTTATGTCCAGAAAAGAAAACACTTAGATGAACACTAAAAAAATTGAATAAAAAACTTAACCACTATACCTTGTTAGTTGTCTTTAATGAAATATATATATATATATATATGTGTGTGTGTGTGTGTGTGTGTGTATGTATATATATATATATATATATATATATGATCAAAAAAACTTTTTACCTCATGTGGGGAATAGACTATTTCAGCAGATGATGAAATTGATTGTCTGTCTTTTCAACCTTGATGTGGAATGAAGTTCACATCTGTAGAGGAAGTTGCTATTAACTGTAAGGAGGTGATATTAGAAGCCTAAGGGTCAACCTAAAATTTAACTTGCCGAAAATACCTAATATTGTGTTTACACTTTTCAATATTTAAGTCAGACAATAGGAACCAGACAGGGGTCAGGGTGGGTGGTAACTATCTATCTTAAATGGGAGAAGATTTATTAAATAGGTCAAAGAATATTAACCCTATGAAGGCAAATTGGGGGCATTAGAAATGGGAAAAAATAAATTTAAAATTAAATTTAAAAGTACATAGGTAACGAGGATGTAAGTGATTAACAGAATGAGAATTATAGGATTATTCAAAGTAAAGTTTGTAAATTATAATATAGCATGAAAAGGTTTTAGAGGAGGTGGGAGTGAGGGAGGGTCTCAAGGTAGCTAAAAAGGCAAAATTACACTATGGAAATTTGAAAGATTTTTTTTGATTATTCATTCATATTGCTCTGTATAAATAAAATACATCAAGCTCTCTTTAGTTTTAATATTTTTATATTACTATGATCCACTTGGATTATATACCCACGTATTTATTTTACCTTTAATATATATATATATATATATATATATAGAAAGAAATATAGTTTTAAGATGTGCTATATTTATGGGATAAAGTGCTCAATATCAGAGATAGAGCATATGTAAATTTTTATATATATATAAATGAAAACTTTGGTAATCCGTATGGATAATCCCAAGGAGGATGTAATCCAGAGAGCTCAATGTCAAACCAGAGCGAATATTAATTTAATTAAAATTAAAAAACAGGCAACCTTAAGAGTCCATTGATTATATTTTATTTCCTCAGGAAGGTGGTTTTTCCTAGTTCTACAGATCACATTTCCAAGCATAAAAAATATGGTTTTAAATTTACATATTATTTTTATATGCTTTTGAGGGGTAGTTTTAAGTTGATGTAAGGTGATAGAGAGAAGGGGAGAAGGAGGACAACAGATATGGTCAAAATTAGAGAAGGAAGGGAGAGATAGGAATAATTTTAAATCTATTTTTTATTAAAATGCTTAAGAGTAAGGGAGGGGGTAAGGACCAGACATCGACCTAGTTAATAAGTCATCTCACAGGAAACAAGACAGAGGAAAAAGAAGATATAAGATAGCAAATGTGGAAGCAGGAGTTGGAGGAAAAAACTGGGGAAAGAAGAAAAAGAAGAATAAATTAACATATATAGGCATATAGCAGTTAATTTCAAAAAACACAGATCGATATATTGCAGTTAATGTTTGACATTAATTTAAAAATTATCAACAAAATAAAATAGGATAAAAGAAAAAATAATATAATGTGAATATAAGACAAACAAAAAAATATGAATATTATTAATAACAACTAAGGAGTAAAAATTAATAATTAAAATCTAAAATTTTATAATATATATATATATATATATATATATATATATATATATATATATATATATATATATATATATATATATATGGAGGCATTAATTAATACTGATAGAGTATTTATCAAAAGTTAATACAATCTCCAATATTGAGCACTGTACATGCATGTCTATTAAAACAGATAATTGTAAGTCAAGGTTGCGACAAGGTAGAATAAAAACTAACTTTTCTTTTCATTTCATTTAAGTCATTTAAAGACATTATTTATATTTGCAGGTTGCGGTTATTTTAATGGACACTCAAGGGGCTTTTGACAGCCAATCCACTGTTCGTGATTGTGCAACAGTCTTTGCCCTTAGTACTATGGTCAGTTCTGTACAGGTATGTTTTTAAAACTTTTTACAGTAACATTAAACATTGACATTGCCTGGTAAAACACATAATTTCAAATATAAATTATATCCTTTAGTACATTTTTTCTTACACAACAAATGAAAAGTTTATTTACATATGAAAAAAAAATATTCTGTTACCCAAAACAAAACAAATGATGTAGTTCTTTAGTTTGACATGGATTCTGGATACACATTTATGTTCTTTTCATTGGGAGTTAGAATAAAGAAGTTGTTTGGGAATTCAAACCAAAAACAACCAGCATAGAGCTGGCCATGAGAAAAGCATGGAGAAGTTAGTGACTTTGAGAGATTGTTTTTGTCACTTGCTGATGGTTATGATAAAGCTGTGCCTCAGTGGGATTTGAAGATTCTTAAATTCAAAGCACAAGCTGTTTGAATTATGACAATCCTGAGAATAAATCCATTGCATGTTTTTTTTCTGCAATTTGTATAATTGCCTCTTAACAGAAGGAAGATTTCCATTGCACAATTTTAGAGAGTTAAATATTTTGTGAAGCCTGATAGGCATATCAACTTTCATTTGAAGCATGTGAGGCAAAGAATCTAGGAACTTATTCATGTTTCAACAGATTCAGATGTACCAGGAAATGAGTCAGATGATTAGTACACCTGTACATCCCTAGTAATCTTTTGAAACAACTTTGAGTTGTATTTATATTATTTACACAGGGACTATTGTCTTCATCTTTATTGTTATTATCACAGTATTTTGGCTGTTGTGTCCCCTCGCATTCTTTGAATGCTTGCCAATCTGAGTAACTTTCAAGGAATTTCAGACTTAATTTAATCTACAAGGATAGAGCTATTTTGTCTTGTTCTTTATTTAGTACTGCTCAGTTACTACTTGCCCAGTTTCTCCTGAGTCTAAATCGGCAATGTTTGGCCCAAGGATTGAACTCACAATTAGTATATTGCCAAATTCATACATCAATGCTTTAATCCACTAGGCTATTGTGCATGGCACAACAGAGAACATAACTGCTGAAAGGTGGAGGACAATAATCAAAGTGTAAATAATGATAACTTCTCGTCCCAGAAATTCAGACACATATTTTTAATTTATTCTTTCAATTGTATCATTCTTTTGAGCAAGAATGTTGCACTCACAGAGCCACTTGTAATTTTCATGGTTTTGACTTGCTTTTATCATTATTTTTTAACTTTTGTCTGAAAAAACTTTTCAGGGTTGTAATACATTTTACAAAAGAATAAAGTTCAAGTTCTTTTGTCTAGCTGATAAAAGCTATTATAACCTCTGAGTTCAATCCTATCTATCATATCATCTTTTTGCCCAAATTACTTTGAAATATCAATTTACGTTCAAGAATATAATTTTTTTAGTTACAATACAGATTATAAAAGCTACAAACTAAATCTGTATGCAATGGCTTCTGGTGACTTTACTGGTTGAAATTGACCTGATTCACCCTACTATTTTTTGGAGGATAAAGATATTTTCTATTTCAAAGCAAACTGAATATCTCTGACCATTTTGATAAAAATTTCTTCATTTGATTGGAAATTGCATGCTGAGCTTTTTGGCAACCTCTGAGACCAGTATCAATTAACCTATCATAATTGAATGTTTTGTGAGTATGCCAACCAAAAATTAGGTTATTGGGTCTTGTCATTTGAGTATAATCATAGCATGGATACATAAATAGAAGCTTCAAATATTAACTAAATGCATTTATTTTTTCTAGTTGCTTTTACTATATCACCAGCAAACAGTCTGGAGCTAAATCTAATTGAAAAAGCATAGTGGAAATTAAGAATGCCCTATTGGAAAGCTCCATTTGCCAAAAAAGATCTATTAACTGCTGTTTGGGAAAGTTGGCACTACTTTAATAAAGAATATTTATTTAAATTAGTGAAATCTATGTCTGAAAGAATTCAAGCTATTTTAAAAGGGTCTAGAGGAGCAACTAAGTATTAATTCTGATTTGTTTTATTGAATTCCATCATTGTTTTCCTCAGTATTTAGTGTTTTTGCCAGGTGTAGTATTAGATGTAACAGTCTTCAATCTTTCTCTGTGTGTGTGAGAGAGAGAGAAGAATTTTAGGTGTTATGTTAAAATCAAAAGAAATACCAGTGCAAAAAAAATGCTTAACATAAAAACCAAATATAGTTTTTTTTTTTTAAATAGTCATATTTAGTTATACTTTTACCATATTGGTATCTTGAAGTTATTATTATCTATCAAAGTTATCATGCTTTGTTTAATAACAAGTAAATATTAATATACTAACGACCCATCTTCCCCAGATTTTCAAGATTTTTAGCTTTGATATTTTTAGTCTGAATACCACATTTTAATGCAGTAATAGTTTTTTTGTTTTTTTTTAGCTATATTTCTTTTAAATTACCTACATATTTTCTAGCTTTCTGAATGGCAATGTACATCAGTATTTTATTTTAAAGTGTAAGTATATATATTAGTTACTGCAATGAATTAGGTTTATCTGTTCATGCATGTGAATTGTTTTGGTTTTAATTTACACACATGCTGCATTCAATAAACTTGAAAAATAGTCCTAGAATAATTTTTACAATAAAGACTTATTAAATTTCATTGCATCTGCATGTAAAATGTTTAATGTACAAAATTAAAAACATAAGCTATTTGATTAGTTTTTTTCTACTCTCTAAAATAACCCTTATTTTTACTTGGTTACTGGTTTCTTTGAATATACAGCATCATAAAATAACAAAGGGAAAAATTTTATACTTGTTGTAGAACATGACAAAGGTAATAAAAATGCTTTATACCAAGGATGCAACAAGAGAATATAATTTACTGTTATTACAAACACATTTAGCAGTAGGGTAATTTTGCTGAACCATTTCCAACATGGTGTTATGTTTCAGTAGCATTTACCAAATCATTTTTATTAAAAAAAGAAATATTGTGTTAAATACAAGTGTAGTGAAAGTGATAATCACCTACCTTGAAAAAGAGTTTGTGTTTTGTGTGCCATCTGCCGGAGAAAAATAACCAAAAGTGGTTAGCAAAAATCTGTTACTTTAAGTATCAGAATCTATGTTAATGTTCTTTCCTTCCCTGAATGGCATGGCCAATCAGAAAAATTGCTTGGTAAATAAAAACCATTGTTTTTCGCTTACAGTGAAGATTGTTTTTGAACTTGGTGGACGAATATGCGTTTTTGCTGCTGAGAAGTAAAGGTTGGATTTTTGACCACATTTTGTTGTTTTTATGTTGCCTGTTAGACTGTTATGACAGGCTATTGTTTAAACTGTGATTTGGCTACAAGTGTTGCAGTCAAGAGACAGAAGAAACTTATTGCAGGCGTTTATTGCTACTATAGTTTATAGTTTGTTTTTTGTTTTTTTCTTCTCCTTTCTTTACTACAACAAGAAGTTTGAAAACATTAATGGTTATGGCAAAATATGCAACATCATTAATGTATTTAATAAAATATAAGAGAAAAATATTAATGTAGTTTTTAATCAATAACTACAAATTTACAAATGGTGTAGTCACATCATCCGTTAAATACAAGAAATTTATAGCTTGTCATAAAAAATGTTCATTTCTTAGAATTCCATTCAGGAAAGTAATGTGTCATGACTATTGGTTCTAATCTGGTTTTAGTAAAGATTTTGCTCCTGAAATGGTAGCAGTTTTACTAATAAGATTGCTTGTTGTGTATTGTCACTATAAACTATTAACAAAACTTTTAGTTATTTCTATATCTAAAAGAATGCTTAAGAAATCGTCTAAAACTAAAGAATAATTATAAAATATTTCATATTTTTATATGTATAAATCCTTGAAGATATGCTTTTTAAATTAAAGTTTATTTTATCATGTTTCAGGTTTACAACCTATCGCAGAATATACAAGAAAATGACTTACAACACCTTCAGGTAAGAAACATGTTTATTTGTGGCAAACATGTAAGTATAGATAGAAACATTTATAACCAGTCTGTAAACAACTTCATCTCTATAATATTTATGAATATATAAACTATAATTATGTTGATACTTTAATCAACACTTAATTTTTAAAAACCTTATCTGCATATTGTGTTTGTTGATGATCATATGACTCCTGAAAGTTTTCTAGTGCTGGTTCTCCACCACCATGCATTTTAAAACATTATCATCATCAACTCATACTTGTCCACTTTTGTATTTTATTTCAAGGGACAACAATTAAAATGTTTTAATCAGTTTTGGGCAATATGGTAAGGTATTTTTCATTTCCTTCTGCTTCCTGGATTCTATAATCTACTTCATTGACTTTTTGAAGGCCATTTCAAAATAATTCCTTAAAATTGCCATAACATAGTGTACATAGACATCTGGCTAGAAGCACACATCAGGGCTGTCTTAACAGCATTATGGGCCCTTGAGCAAACCACATATAGGAATAAAAAGTAAATGGTCAATAATATTAAACATATATTTATTTTATTGGCACTTCAACAAAACTGGTGTTAAAACATTAAAAACATGTGGTACAGCAGTAACTAATCAACATGATAGACATTTGAATAAAATATACTTTGAACAATTTGAATAATACAAAGTAAGCCATAGAGATTAGATGGCATAGTATGCAATTACTCTGAACTTCTTAATATAACAAGCATCTGTAGCATTTATTTTCAGAGAATTGCTTTATTATTAGCTTGAAGTCAATGGTCTTCAGGAATAGGATGATGTTTTCTATGCACATGAGTGAAAGTCAAGTTCAAATAATACTGCCCCATTGTGCTATGAAGCAGATTTTTTTTATAAGTTTCAGTTTTGAAAAAGAATGTTCTCCTGTACCATCATGCACATGAACATTCTGAATGCAATTTTTAACATTCAGGAATGTAGATTTCAAATTGTTCAAAATTATTTTTCTGTACAGTGTAGGGAGAGTCTCACAATTTTCATCAAGAACCATCTAATACTTGAGATGTTCACATTCATTTAAAAGGTCATCATAATACAGATCTTTGTGATACATATTAGCCAGTTGTTCAAACTTTTTCTTTAGTGCGACAGAAGTAATGGTTTTCAATTCACTGAAGAAAGAAAACAGATTTCCAATCTGTGAATAAGCCTCTGCATGTTTTGTCAATTTAAAATTTAGAGTGTCCAGAATAGGGAGGAAAGTTTCCACTTTGAACTTCTCTATTTTACTTAGAAGTACCTTTTCTGCTGATCCATCATATTTATTTATACACACACTCCATTTTCATTCCCATTTTTCCCCCTCACTGTAATCTGTATCTGGACACATACTCCTGACTTTGAATTCATATTCACTAAATTTGTCTTCAGTTTCTTCAAGATAGGTTTTCATAGATTCAAGAAGATTTGTAACAACAAGGATGTTCACATGTTCACTTTGATTGCAGGAACTTGCTTGTTTTGTTCATTCTTTCTGAAATTGTAAAATTCTGCAGGTTTTGATGTGAAAAAGGTTTCAGCAGACTCATTTTCATTAAAGAAAGTTTTCTCCTCAAAGCATTTTGCTGTAATCAAAAAAGGTAAGGTGCAAATCAAGTAAATATAGCAGATGGGGTAGAACAGACCAAGTTCAAATATTTTCCCCTGTGTTAATCATTGCGTTAAGCTTTGCATTGTCATGCAGAACAATATTTTCAATGCAATCTGTATATACTGCTGCTGCCACTGCCACACAAAAAACTAAGGTATGTTAGTGTACTCCAAATCTATTCTTAACTGCCATGCATGATATTAGTTAGGATGATACATGCATCAGTACAGTTGGTTACAAAAACAAATTATTTAATCTATAATTTTCTTCTAGAGTGAATAAAATGATCAGATAATAATATTAATGGTTTTTATGCCTGTCAAGTACATGTGAGAGATGTCGTTAATGATAAAATGCAAAATTAGATTACTTTCTCATTTTTGTAATTATTAGAACTTATTTGACTTTTAAATATTTGCCCAATTAAAAACTTATTGTGACTGTCAATATTTTATTAACAGCCAAGTCATATTTTAAAAATGAAAATGTTCTCTTCATATAGTTTAATTTACAGCACTTTCTTTTTTCAGTCATCTCTCAAAGTGTTTTAGGCCACAAAAATAAATCTGAAAGTGTGTAAGTTTATTAACATCCATATCAGTTTCAAAAGGATAAGTTGATAAAAGTTAAGAAACTAAAGAAAATACTATAAAAGGAGATCATGTTCATTGTCTCAGAGAGAAATAAGGGAAAGTTTTTAATTATACAAAGGTTTGGTCAATACATTTAACTGAATAAACTTGTAACAGAAATATTCATATACAAAAATTCTGGTATAGAAAACTGTAAGAATTGCAGAAAAAAAAGGTACACTTTGGTAAAATGTGCAGATCCAAGAAAAAGAATTTACATAAAATAAAAACATCCAGCAGCACAGAAATGTCAGACCACGAGGAGGGATGACATGGATGCCATTAAAAAAGAAGAACATAAATTCAGTAGAACAGAATCGATGAACAATCAATCTTGGAGTGAATGAAGCATCGGTAACATTTAAAATAGACACAGGTGTGGAAGTGAACGTATTACCTGTGATAATATATAAAAAATATTAGTCCAAAACTAAAATTACATAAAACATCAGTAAAACTAAATACTTATAATTATACAAACATTACTTAGCTATGCTAGCTTTAAGTACAGCTCCTTTAAAGAACATTCGATCTTCACCAGCAGAACAACTAATGAAAAAACTTTACACATGAATCTTCCTAATATTAAGCATAGTAAATTTACATACGACCCACAAACAAAAATGCAGATAGACATAGAGAACTACAAATGCTAAAACCATATGATAACAAATAAACAACAAAAAACTTAGTAAAACAATATAACAACTAAATCACAAAATACCACCAGAAGAGGATGAATAATAAAACTCCCAGCAAGATATAAATTATGACAATAATGAATTTAAAAGGTCTTTGGCATCATTAATAAAAAAAAAAATACTTCTTTAAAAGACCAGAGATGTTGTATACTATCATTACCTCTTACTAACACTAAGCTTAAACATTACTTCGCATTAACACCCAAGACATCCTCCTTATAAGTTAAAGACAGGCAAACTTCCACCTAATATCATTACTACATAGTTGTAAGCTACAGGTAGTATCAATAAAGATTCTGCATTGTTCAGACCTATTGTTTTACCTCATTGTTTTATATTCATGTTCATTTGTTATTAACACAATAGTAAAATACAAAATCTTCTAACATTTAAAAGTGCAAAACATTTTTTGTAAACATGATCTCTTGCCTAATACTGCAAAGTTAACTGTAATATGAGTACATAAAGTGCAATTTATCAAATGCTAAATGGGTCACCTATTGCAGTAGAAAGATAATATTAATTTATGCTAAAATTTAATATATCTTTATGAAGTTTTTGGTTTAAGATCTGTCAGAACTTATAAACTGAAGTTTTTTTTAATCATTTATTTTCAAATAAATATCAGTTCATCATCACTTATCAGTGTTTATTATTATTATTATTATTATTATTATTTGTTGGTATGGTTCAGATAACAAATTTAAAATCTTTTCTGAAGCATTTTAGAAGACTGATTAATAAGGGCATTTCTAGATGCATTAATATAATAATATATTATTAAAATTTAAATGATGAAATTATTTTCTGAAAATCATGCGTGCATTTTCTTAACTGCATGTTTTCTTTAATTAAAGATATAATCTTTCAACAACTGAAAAAAGTAACTATTTTAAACTTGAATGTCTACCTCAAAATATTTATTTACTTTGTTAACCAGTTTTTATGCATGTTATTAGCTGATCAAATGCATTAGATTTATGTTGGCAAAGAATACATACAATTTATGGCCATAAAAGTAAATCCTCATTGTAAGAAAATATGACAAAAGATTTAAGAAGATTCTAATCTAAGTAAACATTATCTTTTAAAATAGTGATTTTAAAATAAAAACTTGGGAAATTAATAAGTTATATTAATTACATTATGAACAGTACATGTGTGTGTGTATGTATATATATATATATATATATATATATATACACAAGCACACACACACACACAATATATTATGGACTGATACTGCAACACACAACACAAAAAAAAACTCATCTTTTTACCCAATCTGATAAGGGCATATGCACCATAGTCAAATGATATGGTGACAGGTTTTGTTAAAAGCAATGCATAACTTTACAGGTAAGACCTAGTTAGAAATACCTCCAAGTCTTGTAATCCAGTCTGTTCAAATGAGATCTGTTTCAGTATCTAAATGTGACTCCCAAGTCATTTCCTGCTTGATCCTACAAGCTTAAAAACAAAAAAATCTTCTTGTTCTCTGACCTTGAGTTGATATATTTCATACAGCTTACAAAGATATTATGCATCATCTTTTAAGAGACATCCTCAATTGGTTAATGTCAGGCAACTGACCAACAAATTTGTGTTATCCACTCTAGCTCATCTTAATTCACTAAAACAAAATATGTACACATTAACAGCTCAGAACAGCTTAAGATCAGAAGCAATGAGAGTCATGTCTGGTGTAGAATCACAGCATTTATTTAATTTTGTTCTTACTATTACTAGGTTTTCACATGTGCATTTTTAAACATTTTTTGACCTTTATTCAATTATTATTATTTATGTACTCTGCTCTTTCTTTTTTTCCAAGTAAATTAAAACAATTTTGAAAAATATTTTTTAATATGAATATTTTAAGCAAAGTTAGACATTGTGAATTTTTTAAATGTCCTTTAGCACAAGGCTGTAAATATCATGTGAGGATCAAATTCACTATATTGTTACTTGTTGATAATTGCATCATAATGAAGAGTCAGTAGTTTGATTTAATGATATTTTGTGTAGATTTTTCAACAATTTCACAAATGTTGTTTGTGAAGCTTTTTTGTACAGATATTGAAAAGTATTAATATGCAATATGACAGGTACTGTGAGCTGAGGAATGTGTTTTTGCTCTTGAATTACTGTCTTGATTAACTGAAAACATCATAATTATATTCTGTTGTTTTAATAACCCTTGAACTGATATCTTATTTCCATTCTAGAGGCTAAATAAAAGTAGCAATTAAGTTTACATTATAATATCTAATATCATACCGTCACTGGAAAATTAATACTTTACAAATGGGTAGTAAAATTAACCAAATTTGTTAAAATTTTGAAAAATATAATAATTTCTGTTAGTTACATTTTTTTTTTCAACTTGAATGATTCAGCTTTGGTAATGGTGAAATTTGCCATTTCCATATAGGAAACATTTGACATTCATTTACTAAACAGCTATTGGTTGAAATTTATAAAATCTTGTTATTAATTCAATTTTTCAGAAAATTAAACTTCACCAGTCCACTAACTTTTATCACTTTTTCTAATATTTATGAGAATTTCTTTGTAAACTTTTTGTTTTTGGTAGTGTAGAAAGTCAACATCTTGATTATATCAATTATTATCTCTTCTACTTACATGTGCTATCCATTTTAGTTGTTGTTGCTGTTGAAAGTCTTCAACTGGTGTATTTTTTTTAATTTTAGAAAAAATAAAATGCAACAATTGTCCAAATGTGTGTATGTGAGCTTAAAAATAAAAAAATGATGGTCTTGATAAACTTAGACAGGTTAGCAAAAATATTTTTATAAACATAACTTATTTAACTGTAGCAGAAATGTGTTATTTACAGTTAAGGCATAAAACTGCAATGATGTCAATTCCTATCACTCACAGTTTATGGTTAACACAACTAAATTCTTTTTTTTCAATTTTTCCATATTTTCTTTAATGTAATTTCTTAAAAAATATACAGTTAATATATATTAAAAGTATATTAACATTATACTGAGTTTCATTTTCATTAATGTAATAAATATAACTGTTTATTATCTAAGATTAATAAATTAACTTTTTCTTTCAATTTTATATTGCATTGAATTTACTAAATTCTTATTACAGTTGTTCACAGAATATGGCCGTTTGGCATTAGAAGCCAATGACAACAGTTCAAAGCCATTTCAGGTAATTTGTTTTTTAATAATTTAAATAATTTTCTCTATTAATTCATGTGAAGATGCTAATAAAGCATATAGTCTCATTAGCCTACTTACTATTCTTATAAAATTTTCAAATAAAATTAGATTTTAGGAAAAAAGTTATTCAATTGAACTTTTCTGGATAGTCTAGTAATTGATCACTTACTCATATTTTTTATTCTGTATTTTAAATGTATTTCATACCAGTATTACTGGAGACCCAGCCTTTCATTGACAAACTGCAATTTCATCAGTTGATATATTTCATGCAGATAATCATTTACAGTGTTTCAAAATGAAGCTTAATTTACTTATGATACGTTTGTTAATTAAAAGTCAGTTAAAAAGGCTTGGTAGCTGCTTGACTATTTTGCATACTTGTTTTGAATTAATTTTAAAATACATTTCTGATTCCCAAGGTTCATCATCTGAACCTGACTGCTGCAGATGCATTTCATCTGTCTGTATGTGAGAGGTGCTGAAAAGTTCTTTGTTAAGAAAAATTCTTAGATTTAGTCATTTGGTCAGATTTTGAAAAGTGGGTCAGGCTAAGAACTTTTCAGCACCCCCTTATATTTAAACAAAGTTTGCTAACTTCAACCAACACTTTTATTTCTCTGCTTTTTACATAAGTTGTTGTATATTCAAATTAAAATATTGAGTAAGCTGTCTAAAGTTCATGTTTTTGTTTGAGTTCCTTTTGACCATATCTCAGTCATTATCCTGAACAGTAAGTTAACTGTATGGTAGACAAGATTTTGTTGCTTATATCCTGACATTTTTTCTAAGGTAACAATTAAAATTCAAATATGTGATTATTGTATACGTGACATCATTAAGGGGTTTACAAAATTTGACCACACTGGAAAAATAATATCAAATTTTTTATACATATTAGTATTATACACATTTGTTATATACATTTTAAAATAAGCATAATTTTCTTCCACTAAATATTAGACCAAAAATTCTGTATAAATTTCTGCCTTGCACATCCCAAGTACCTTTTTTATCATTATGATAACATTTACATACATACCAATAGTATAGCTATGGGTTCACCGCTTGGTCTCATTTGATCAAGTTTCTACATGACTTGTGTAAAAAAACAAAATCTTTAATAACGTTGCCAAATCTATGATATATGTTCAATATATTAATGACATATTCATATGAATGAAATAAACAAAATAAAAAAAATAAATCACCAACAAAAACTGTTCTACAAGTTACTTATGAACTTAACATTAATAATAGAATCTCTTTCATTAACACTGACAGTCATAATTTTACTACTTCACTGTATAACCTACAAGCAAAAATGTGTTTTCTCAATTACAAAAGTCAATGTCCTCACAGCTATAAAGTAGCTGTTATAAACAACGTGATTAACTCAAAATAATGATAGCGCTCTGTTTGGTCAAAATTCAGTCCTTATGTGAGTGGTGTCTGAAGTGGTTTAACAGTCCAATCTTTGTTTGGCACTCTCTTCTGCAGGTGTGACAGATGAAGCTCGAGTGTTGAATGAAGGTCTGAGATTACTCTCTCTGATTCCTGTGCCGTCTTCTGATCTCCAACAGTTGGTTTCTCTTTTTCTTGCCTTTCATGATTCTTCCTTGAATAGCATGGCACCAGCCACTGTGATCATCTGCTAGCTGTTCCCAGCTACCAGATTCAGTGTCTGTGATTTTCCGGTCCCTCTTGTAAATGTCCTTAAAACTGGGCAGAGCAACTTACCAGACAATGTCCTCTGGCCAGCTCACCATGCATGTCTTTTGCTATTCATCTGTCATTTATAAAAGTGACCAATCCATCAAAGACTTTGTTGACAGCGGAGAAGATGCATGCTCCAGAAGTTTGCTTGCTTTAGCACGTAACTGTTTCTCCATGTGATGCTGAAGATTTGTCATAAGCAGCAAAGATGGCTAAGGACACATGCCTGGAATACTTTTAGTTTGGTGTGCAAAGTCAGCTAACTGTTGTCTCATACTCTTTTGCTCAATTTGGCCATCACTGCTGCCACATTAGCAATACATTTGTCAATTTCCATGTCAAGCGATAGGTTGCAGATGATGGTAGAACCCAGATATGTGACTTTAAGCACCATGTCATCAATACTAATTGATGGAGATGCAGAAACATTTTGACCATGATATTTAGTTTGTTTGTTTTTTTTTAATGTTAATAGCCAGTACAAATCCCTTACTGGCATGGTTGAACTGACTAATCAAATGCTGGAGGTCATGTTTAGTGATCAGAGTTGTGTCATCAGCAAACAACAATACTCTGATGAGTATTGTGTGCACCTTTTCTTTGCCCTCAGGTATGCAAAGTTGTATAGTTTAATATTGCTTCTTGTGTCTAAGTATACACATTCTTCTTAAAATGGAAAAGAAGATACCAAACAAAGTCGGGGCTAAAGCGCATCCATATTTTATGCCACTCTGAATTGTGAAATCCATTAAAGTCATATGTTCTTGTGAAAGAAGGTGGTGATACTTAGCAACTGTGTGGGACAGCAAATTTTCATTAGTAAATGAAACAGAACTTTCCTGCTTACAAGATTGAATGCCTTTGAGAGATCAATGAAAATGATGTATAATGGCATCTGTCATAGAGAGATCATATTAAGTGTGGATCTCTTAGCCCTAAATTAGTGTTCTGAGTAGATGCAATCATCAAAGGTTTGGAGTTAAAACACCTTGGGCAAAAACTTTTCCAACCATGCTTAAAAATGTAGTTATTGCAGTCATAGCAGTTGAACTTACCTTTATAGAGGGTAATCATCTTTGGAGGAACATTGTCTTCTCTCCAGTAGTGACTTAGAAGACTATAGAGTGGTTTCAGTAAAGCTGGCTTACTACATTTGAGGTTCTGGTGGTATGCTATATTCATTCAGTTCTTTTCCACAAGCAATAGCATCAATGTGTTGGGCTCTTCTCCTGTAGGTTCAGAATCCAGCATTTCCAGGACTGTTAGACCATCAATATATCATCAAGCACAACTGTAGTGATGGAATTTTCTCTTGAGTAAAGTTCTATGTATTGCTTTATCCATCATCTCATTTATCTTTTTCCATAATTAATTTACCTATCTTTGATTTCAAAGGCATAGACTTCTTTGTTGGTTTGCCAGTTGCTTGTTTAATGCCTCCATACATGCTCTGGGTGTCCAAATTGTGTTGGAGTCAATAACTTCTAAGTTCTACCGCTCACCACCAAGTAAAAAATAAATAATGTTATTTTTTTTAATTCCTATGCCTTTTGTAAGATAATCATTAAACATTAAATTCTTATATTTCATAATATTACATATCAATCATCAAGTAAAAACAACTAAAATGCAACAATACTAAAATATATACCAGTTACTGCAAAATAACTGAAGCGATTATTATACAAAAGAAATATCTCACAGTGCATTGTCTCACTGCAGTAGATAGTATTGTAAAATGTGTATAAGACATTCATTAAAAGTATAAAAATAATGTTATATATGAAATATTTGATACTTTCATTTTCCAGTGTGTTCAAGTGTTGTTAAACTATTATAAGACATATATGTATTATTCTTGTACATATGGTGTGACTTATACAATATGAGTACATTTGAATTTGAATAGTAGCACTCAAAAAGATGCTAATATGTAGCTAACAACATCTCATCTACTATACTAACAACATTCAGTTTTTGATAATGACTGACTTGTTCAAAACCACTCAAATAAAAATAGAACAAAACATGAACTTTAGATGGTTTATCCACAATTTTGATTTAGATGTACAACTTATTTGAAAATGAGAGAAATACAATAAAAAATTATATACTGCAGACATTGTGGGTAAAATTCAATAAAGCATCACTTTGAAACTTTTTATAAACATTTATAAATATTATATTTCACAGAAACTTGAAAGAGTTAAACTACTGAGCCATAGAAAATTGATTAATTTGAAATTAATGGCTTTTATAGCTTTCAATATTTTCATCTATTTTTAATCGTAGGATAAACTCTTTTTTTTCTTTTTTCTTTTTTTTTAAAACACTTTGTCTAGTTTTAGGAAAAAGTTAATTTTAATCATGTAATCTTTTTCAGACATTGACTTTTCTGGTTCGAGATTGGAGTTTCCAGTATGAATATGCTTATGGATTGGATGGTGGGAAAGAAATCTTGGAAAAGCGATTAAAAGTGAGAGTAATGTTGTTAGTAATATTATCTTGTGTTATAGTTTAATCTGCTTATTTGCTAAAAAGGAAAAAAAATTAACACAAAACCTAAATTATAAATTGTAATTAATTTTACACTGTATCACTTAAAATTTCCATTATTTGATCTTCAGAGTACACTTTACTTTTATAATATAAACAATTCCCTTTAAAATAACTCTTATAAGGTTACTTTTTTATTAAATGTTATATATGCACATGTTGTTTATTTATGATAAATATTCAGACAATTTTAATTTTCTGCAAGAAAAATTAGATTTTAACTAATTTCAACACGAAATTAAATAATACATGTAAACTACATCATGATCAATTTTAATCAGAAAAATGCCATTTTAATAAAAAGTGAATATAATTTACTCAAAGTTGCATTAAAAGTATCATAATCTATGAGTCACCTACAATTAATATATGACCAGGCTATTTTACTTTATCTCCTATTCTTACAAAATTAGTACTAAAACAATGTGGGATACATAAACTTGGTGAATAAATAAAAATAAAAACAGTTGAAATTAGTTATATCTATTTCTATATTTCTAAGATTATATTGAATCAATTGTTTGGTCTGCTGCTAGGAAAGCTGGTTCACTGTATCATGCCAGACAGTTTTCTCTCACAAGAAGCCATCTTGCACATTTGTCCATGCATTGAATATTGCTACCCTATCTGATCCGGTGCTCCTGCTATATGTCTCAAGATTCTCAACAAAATCCAAAGAAGGATCTGTAATGTTATCGGCCCTCACCTGACATCTTGATTTCAGTCACTTTCCCCCTGTCATGTGACTTCCCACTGTCTTTTCTGTAAATATTTTTGTAGCAATTGTTCTAATAAGTTCACCTCCTTAGTACTTCAACTGCATAAATTTATACATATTACTAGATTAGCAAACAGGTCTCAACATTTTATTGTTGGAATAGCTAGTAAATAGTAACATTGAGTTTTATTCTAATAGTTTTTTTTTTCACACTTGTTGTCTCTGGAACTCTCTTCTGGTTTCTTGCTTTCCTACCACCTACAATCTTCAAAAATGTAAATGCAACATCATTTACAATCATTTATCTCTCTGAATCTTGTTGTTTTATTGTCTTCACTAAAGTTTTATTTTTTCATGCCTTAGTGCTATTATCACCTTGAAATGATTAAGAAAAAAGTATAATTTCTAGCTAGATACCTGTGGCCATGGTAATTAAGGATTTGTAGTTTACCTCTATGTTGTTCACAGTGAGCAGTAATACTTTTCATCAGGTATTTTTGGTACACATCCCCATAATTTCAGAAATGGAATGTCCCATTTGTCTACCAAACTGATAATTCGCACCACTTTGCCATGTACAACCAAGCTAGTGTTTACACTGACTCAACAGCACAACTGATATAGTTCCATTACATTAAGGTATGGTGGTGTTATCCAACATTACTTTTACATACTGAATTCCCATGGCTTTTGGTATATTAGTATGTTATATAATATGTGCATGTGTATGGTATCCATCAGTTTTGAGAGACCTTGGATCTGCATTTGGGAAGTGGTGCAACATATGTTGTGGCTGTACAGACAGACTTTTAAACAACTTTTAACTCGCTCTCTCTACTTCTCGCTCCAGCTCCCTATATAGCTCACATCTCCAGCAAGAGTGGTTGTTAACAATGTCTTCCTATCTCTCAAAGATTAGGTCCAATAACTTCATGTTTCTGTTGCAGTTGTCTTTGAAATGACTGAAGTCATCTTCATGTGCTCTTACCAGTGGTGTAAAGCAGGTCTTTTGTAATTATCCTGTCCTGATATACAATGTACATGACTTAGACAGTGGTGATGATGCCACCAGAGTAGGACAAAAAGGCTGGTTATTGGGGTATAAGTGAGGACTTCAGTGTTGGTAATTCAGTCCATTTAATGTCAAGAATGTATCTTGGGCTGCAAAAACAGAACAGCATTGAGATGACACTTCTGTCTGGAAAGAGGCTGTAGATCTAATTGCCATAAAAGAGTGTGCTAAGAATGCATGCAAAGAATGATTTGTGTCAGTAAGCACTGTGAAATGAATAAGCCCTGGGAACAGTTTTTATGTGTTGCCATCTTGTGGTTATTAGATCTAGATCATTTTAATTTCTGGAGTTAGCACAGTTTCTTGGTGTGGCACCATGCATCATTAGAAAACTGAAGAGAGATATTCATAAATATATGATTTATTTTTATTCGGTTTGTTAACCAGTTGATAGTTATTTAGAGATGAAGAATAATTGAGTTTTGAGAATAATTCTCTAATTGTATTTAGGCGATCCGAAAGAAAGAAAAAGAAGGAGAAATAGATGGTACAAAACCCAGTCATAAGCACACCCGCTTAAACTGACACAAAACAGGTGTCAAAAGATATCTAGGTCAAAGTACCTGACCGAAATCCACGAAAAATAGAAATTGTTATAATTGGTTGAAGAAATAGAGTTTAGAAATAATAAAAAAAAGAAAGGGAAAGACAGGAACATGATACGAGGCGGGTCGTGAGCGAATAGGCACACGCGATTGATGCATAACAGATGTCGGTCAAGCACCTGACCTACTTTCGTGTCTGCGGAGTATGGGAGTTTGTTATCAATTTGGTTGAAGAAATAATATTTTAGGGACAATGAAAAAAAATATTAATAGGTAACGAACGAAAAGGGGTGTCATTGAGATGATAAGTAACCGCTGGGGAAATGTATACGAAAAACAAAACATTAATACACGAACCCTGACCATTTCTAGGGTTGAAGATAAAAACCACCCAAGATGATGAGTGGAAAATATTTTCAATTTAGATAATTAAGATTTTGTTAACAGGCCCCGAAAAAAAGAAAGAGGTGAAATATTTGTTTTAGCTCATGGAAGACGCCGACAGGTCGGAAAAATTCTTTCCTGGAGTCACATCTAATTAGCGGTGGGCTGTTTTGACATATGCCGCGGTGGTGGAAAAAAGACAATTTAAATTTTGTTTTTTAGCAAGGTGTTTCTTCCCAGAACAAAGCCCCGGATTATACACGCCCGATTAGAGACGCCACGAAGGAGGAGAGACACCCGACCAGAGTCTCATTGGCGAGAGCGGTCACGTGATGTGCGAGGGAGGAGGAAAGATGCTCGACCAGGACCCCATTGGTCGAGAGCGGTCACCTGACATACGAGGGACCAGGGGAAGCGGGTATCGCCTCCCCCAGAGGCACTGTAAGGAAGTAGGAGTGAAAGTAAGAGCGATAATGGGAGATCCCCTAATCGGGAATAATGCGACTTTTAGAATTATCAAGAAAACCCTGGCGCCGACAGACCCACCCCAGTTTGTTACGGGCCAATAAAAGCAGGACCCCAGTCGACAGAAATCAGTTGCAGGGGCGGACGGCGAGAGAGAGCTGCAGAGCGGACAGCGGCCCTGTTCATTAAGCCCTTGCGGGCAGGAAGGCCGGTCCGTTTGGCCCGGACAGGAAGAGAAGTTAAAGTTGCAGTTGGGGTTGCGCCTCGAAGAAGAAGTTAAGTTGGAGTTGCAGGCCGGACAGGCAGAAGAGTTGCAGGCCGGACAGGCAGAAGAGTTGCAGGCCGGACGGCGAGAGAGAAGTTGCAGTTGGAGTTGGGTTTGCACCTCAGACGAAGAAGAAGTTAACTTGCAGTTACGCCTAGGAGAAGTTGGAATCAAACCAAGCCTAAGAATAGAAATTCGTCCAACCCAAGTCAAGTAAAGAAATTTGCCCAACTCAAGTCGAAGTGAATAAACTCGTCCCAACCGAAGCAGAAGAGAAGAGAAGTTGATTCGGCGCACTGACGGCGAGGGAAATCAGCCGTGAACGACAGGTAGAGATCGGCGCCCAGTGTCGAAACCAAACCACACCCCGGTAAAAAGCAAATTTCTAGAGAACAAGCAACTCGAAGTCTTAAAGTTGTATGGTAGAAGCTTGGTGCCACAGTCCACAAAACGGGTCGGAGGTAGGAACAATTTTGTGTAACGAACATTTAGATATAAAAGGTTGTTACCCTTTTTTCAATAATTTTTGACCTCGTGAGTTTTTTTTTACTTGTGTTTATCACCCCCGTTGAACCCAGCTGGCATATGGCCCCAATCCCTGTTTGATCCCGTCTGTCTAAGATCTAATCACAATGTGGGTAGGCAGACCGGAGATCAGTGCAGTTACCCTAGTAACCAGGCGTTGGAAGCGAGTTGGGAACGGCGAGGCTGGTATTCATCTAACCAAAGGGTTAGAACGTCACACTTGGAGCAGCGATGAGCGAACAGCTGACGCCACGGCAAAGACGTCACAACTGGTGCTGTCCGTGACCAGGATATCAGAGCCTGGAGAGCACGTGACGTCACAACTAGTGCCGCGAACGAGATCGAACGACAGAGTCGACGCTGCGACCAGGGGGGGCGACGTCACATTGGTAACATCCTGAGCTTTTATCTGGAAGTAGGTGTTAGTAAAACTTAATTTGTGGAACATGTAAGACTAGAGTAGATTTTGTTATTTTGTTATTTTCATTTTGTTATTTCCTATACTATCCCAGGCACCCTGACCAGGAGTTGTAGTCAGTTTACACTCTGTGTCGAAGTCACCAAGTAACAGCAACTGTTCCCGATTTTGGATCATTCTATTTACATCAAACAACTTGTTCTTCATATCTTTTGTAGAGTACAGGGTTAAACTGTTTACTGGCACATCTGATGTGTGCAGTCTATATGAGACCTGCTCCAATCTTTCATTACTAAGCTCTACCATTCTCAACAGCGAGCTCCTCTCAGCAAAGTTGGCATGATACTGTCTGGTCTTGTCTATACTCCTTCACTGCCAGAAGGTATATTTTCTCTTATGTGGAGTTTGCAATTCTATAAGCCATGTCTCCCAGAACACAGATATCCACTTGGAGTGATAACATTTTACTATTAATCCCTGCTGTCTTTTCATGTATCATTGATTTCTTGAAGGTCATTTGATAAATCA